TTAGAATGACCACTTCAGGCTGATTAGCAGAGTGGGACGAGTGAGTTCCGTTAGCGATCGGCGAACGCTCATCAATGAGTGTTAATATATCCCGATCTAATACGGCAAGACAACGAGCTCGTGGTTCAGTGGTTAGAGCGTTAAACTTCTGATCAGCAGGTCTCGGGTTCGGGCCTTGGTTGGTGGCGCATCACTTTGGGTTGGATGTGACTGGCCGATGATGGCTAATGAGAGGGAAATTGTCATTTCCGTCTCCCTTGCCTTTGCCGGCAATACTATTGCATCCTATCCCCGACACTTCATATATTCTCGGGGATTGAACAAGTGCAGTTGATTGTAATGGCGAGTTTTCTCATAATAAGATAAGACAATGATTACTTATACGGCTCCAGGAACGGGACATGTGCGAAGGCAACATCTCACTTTGTGCAAAATTTCAGAAATATCGGTTATGTATGAGGTCGGTGTTAGGGTAAGGGTTATGCTCAGGGTACGCATTTACTGTAGGAGTTAGGATTTGAAACATGGTATGGGTTACGATTTAGGTTTATTTTAGGACTAGTGGTAGAGTTAACACGCAGGAATATTTACCCCTCCCCTGGAAGTATTTGGAGGGCCATCCTTATTACCTGGGTGGACGTTTCTACTCCCGTATCCTGTTTAGCATAGAGAATTCCGACTTTTCGCAAACTGTGTGAGCTGTTTATATCTAGGATCTGCTCACTCAGAAAAGCACAAGAAGCATAAATTGGCACGACTGCATTCAGTTAGAACTACAATTTATAAAAACACTACTTTTTATCTCAACAGGTAATAAGACTTATCGCGGAAGCGTCAAACACGTGAGAGACTCCAGTACATGCAGTCTGATGATCAAAATAACACCTTACTGAGCACGTCAGGGGAACCGCTCCGCTCTAACTCGCGGCCTTTAAATCTCAGCGCACGGAGGCTCCGTGTTTTCGTGATTGCGATGATGATGTTGAGCACTTTCAGGTGTCAGAGGACCTAAACACGGATTTTTTTCAGTATCGAAGGGGATGATGTAGTAAGTAAAAACATGCCAACCACCTCAACCCGTCTAATGTGACCTGCCAACAAGCCCACCAAAGTTGCGAACACGTCTTTTTTAGTAAGCCAGCTAATAGTGGTATGAGGTGGGGGGGGGAGGGGGGCAGTCGCTGTTAACCTTACGGTTGTTTTGGACTATGGTGTGAGTATAACAAGTCGGACCACAGACCGTAAACACGTTGAAGACCTTAGAGGTAGAGCAGTCCTAACAAAAAAGCGTTATTTACCTGAAAAAAACAAAAACAATCGGCTCCAAAAAGCGAATAAAACAATCCGTCAAGGGGACTCTATACTTGTGAGGATTGTTGAGTTCACTCGTGCTATTTTCTCATCATGCACTGATTTCTAAAGCCTACTTCTTTGAACATGGCTATCGCTCAGTGTTAGGATTAAATTTATAGTTAGGTTTAGTGTTGGATCTGCATCTGTACTGCATCTAGTAGGGGGCATGCAAAGACGTCACGCCGCAGCAACGTCTCGAAAGGTCTGCAAGGTTCTAGGAAGTGAATAAAGAGTAAACAATGGTCAGGCCAAGTGGTAACTCACCCTCCGGATAGATTGCACGTATTTTGAGGTAACTCGTAGTGAGTCGAATGACAGAGGCCTTGTCTAACTGCGCGGTGATAGTGCCCGGTAAAGGCAGCAACTTGGCGAGTTCACAAAATTCAGTGTTCTCCTTCTCTCGCCTGGTTCGTGCCGCGTTCTTAGACTTCTCCTTCATCCTCGGTGAGGTTGGTGATACGTAGGCGGCGGCGGTGGTGGGAGTGGTACCCAATTGAGTACAGTCGGTTTCCGCGTGTGCAACAGACGAACCGCAACTGGATCGTGATTGAAGGCTTCGGGGGTCCTGCCTGCCTGAGTTGGGCTCCAGTCCCAATTCCGCGGAGTAGGCTGAGTAGTAGTCAGACGAAGCGACGGCAGGGATGCACTGGCCGGAGGGTTCGTATGAAGGCATGTTAGACTGTGCGTACGCGAAGTTCGGGTCAAATTGCATTCCGCCCTGAAGTCCCATAAGCGTCG